CCTAAACCCTAAAACCCTAATAAAATTATTCAGGCCCCTGGAGTGTCCTCGTCCGGCTTGAAGCTGTCCGCCTCTTTGAAAGCCTGCCCCGGGCTGGAGCTAAGGTTTAGGATATAGCCTAAACCCTAAACCCTAAACCCTAAACCCTAAACCCTAAACCCTATACCTGGACCCCGAAGGACTTACCTTTTTAAGGACTTGTACAAGGAAGCCATAAAAGGGATTCCGGAAAACGTCGCTTATTTGGGGCTTAGGGTTTAAGGAAGCCATGAAAAGGATCCCTAAAATGGTAGCTTGTCTGGGGCTTAGGATGTCGCTTAGGGGCTGTTGCCTCCAGGAACAGGTTCGAAGGATGATGCTAGGGCAACGCAAACCATCAGCCAGTCTAGAGTTTAGGGTTTAGGGCACTTGGGCTTATGGGTTCAAGGTGTAGGCTTTAGGGCTTTAGGGCTTATGAGTTTTGGGTTTAGGGTTTTAGGGTTAAAGGGCCTTGGGGTTGAGGGTTTAGGGTTGTAGGGTATTAGGGTGTAGGGCCTTGGGGTTTAGGGTTTAGGGTGTAGGGCCTTAGGGTTCAGGGTTTGAAGCTTTAGGGTTTGGGCTTTAGCAGGTGCAAGACCAATGGGAAAATGCACAACTTGCAGATTTCCGAACTGCGAACGAATTCCCCTTCGAAGGCCCCTCAAACTGAGGCAAACAACGGGCATAAAAGGCATCGCAGGGTCTAAACCTGTGATAAAAAAGAACCCTACCATCTAAGGAATCATACATAGAAGCCATAAAAGGGAACCTTCAACAAGTAGGTTGTTTCGGCTGCAGATAATACTCGTCATGCAGACCTCTATCCCTAAGCCCGTCCTCCCTCTTTATCGGGGTGTTGGGTCCGAAAACAACGTAGGGAGACTACCCAGGGTCCAATAAAGGACGGTTTAGGGTTTAAGGTTTAGGGCTGAGGGGAATGAATTCGGTTGTGAGGTATACCATGGCGTCGAATATTGAGGCCTGAATAGGTGATAGCTATAACCCGAAACCCTAAAGCCCTAAACTCTAAACCCTAAACCCCCTATAACTCGATGTAGTGAGGGTTGTTTTAAAAACCCTCTTTTCTAAACCCTAAACCCCTATAACTCGATTGTAGTGAGGGCTTTTATATATAACAAACCCTCTTCTTCTAAACCCTCAACCCCTATCTCGATTGCAGTGAGGGCTTTTATATATATATATATATATATAACAAACCCTCTTGCCTAAACCCTCAACCCGTATTCTCGATTGTAGAGACTGCTTTTATATATAAAACACCCTCTTTTCTAAAGCCTAAACCCCTATAACTCGATTGCAGAGAAGGCTTTCATTTAAAAAAACCTCTTTACTAAGCCCTACACCCCTCTAACCCCAAACCTTAAACCCCAAACCCTAAACCCTAAACCCCTAAACCCTAAACCCCCAGAACTCGATTGTAGTGCTCTGGCGCTATGAGGTGGCAGAGGCAAAGCGGGATCGGCTCGGAGCTCGGAGGCTTAAGTTTAGGGTTTAGGGTTTAGGGGTTTAGGGTTTAGCGTTCTTCGCTGTTCCCAGAGAACCCAATACCCCGTAACTAAGGAATATACCCTAAATTATAGGGCCCTTAATATTATGATTGAAGGTATATGCCTTAATTAAGGGGTATTGTGTTCTCTAGGTTAGGTATTCTTGTACCTATCTATATGTACAAATTGCTCTCTCTCGCTCTCTCGCTCTATATACATAGGCGTTGGGTTGGGTTTGGCAACCGCCAATGACCTCTGAACTCGCAGCCCTAGCACCAATAATTGTACGAGCCCTCAATACCCTAAAGCCCTAAAAAGCTCAGACCGTAAAACCCCCTAAAGACGCTAAGGCCCTAAAACGCTCAGACCGTAAAACCCAGAGAACACCCAAAGGGATGTAACCCGACCTCCTCATGCTGCTTCCAAAGGTTGCCTTTGACAGAGTCGAGTTCAGCCTCCAGGAATCTGGGATTCAGGGTCCGATAGGGCTTTCCTTAAAGGGTACCAACGGAAGGATACTTATCAACAGGTTTTATCTGAAGAGTACAACAAGTACATGGTTGCTGTAAAGGTTTCCTTTCGGGAGCTGGGCGTACATCTTCAACTAGCCCCTAAACCCGAAACCCGTAAACCCTAAAGCCTAAAACCCTAAACCCTCATTTTGAATAAATGGGGTGGGTTTGGGTGAGTTTAGGGTTTAGGGTTCAGGGCTTAGGGTTTAGGAGTTTAGGGTTTATGGTTTTCTGGTTTTAGGGTTTAGGGGCTTACGGGTTTCGGGGTTTAGGTTTAGGGTTTAGGGTTTAGGGTGAGTAAAGTTTGTCACGAACCCTATACACCCTCAACCCTAAACCTTAAACCTAAACCCTACATCTTATAAGCCCGACAGCCTGAACCCCGAAACCCTACTTGGGGGGACATACTTGCGATTCTATCCTAGGACTCAAAATCGCCTTGTATAGTATAGTCTCTGGGCTCAAAGAAATTGAAACGCAGGTCCCTTGAGCTTTAGGCTATTGCCACACCTATAGTACTCTCTATGAAGCCCTAGTATAAGCCCTAAACCCCTCCAAAAAAACCCTAAAACCTCTACGAAGCCCAAGCCCTAAATCAAGTGAGTGATGTAACCTCACAGTCGACAGACCTAATATATAAACCCTAAACCCTAAAATCCTAATGTAGGGGGCCTGAATGATTCGAGGAATGAGGGCTCTTTTAAGGGTGTTCTTTAGATGTTCTGTTTGAGGGCTCGGTAGGTTTTTTGGGCTTGGGGGCTTTAAGGTGCCTTACTAGTTGGAAGAGGGGTTCTTGCATACTGTAGGGGCCTTTCTTTCACACAGGCTGAAAGTCCAAAAGTAGGGGCCTTAATAATTAGAATAGGGTTTGGGGGCCCATTATACTATAAGTATAATACGGAACCCCAAAAATAGTAATTATTAAGGTCCCTATATTACATGATTCTTCTAGCAGAATTCGTCCGGAACCCATAAATCGAGTGTGCTTTGTTAAGGTCCTAAGCCGTGGGCCTGCGACATCACACCGCTGGCAAGAAGCTTCCTCGGCTGATTCGACAAGAACTGGTAGCTTTTCAGGATTTGTGATGCCGGTCTCTAGGTTTAGGGCGTACCCCTCAGCCCTGAAACCCAAAGACCCTTATTGGAACCTTAAAACTTGCAGCTCTCTCTAAACCCGGAAGCCCCCCGGCCCTAAACCCCTGAATCTGTGGCCTTGTAGCCCTTCGCGGTCCTTTTAAGGGATCTTTAACCTTTCGATCCTTCAAGGTCTCCCTTTCGGGATGCTTTAAGGGCCTCCTCTAAGGCATCCTTTAAGGGATCCTTTAAGGATCCCGTAACGGCTCTCTTGACAGCTGCTTTAAAAGGATCCTCTAAGTTCAGGGGCCCTCTTGAGGGCTCCTGTAGGGGCTCCTTTAAAGCATCCTTTAAACTAGGGGCTCGTTTAAGGGATCCTCCCTTTAAGGGCTCCGATAAACGATGCTGTAGGGGCTCCTTTAAAGGATCCTCTAGGGGCTCCTTTAAAGGATCCTCTCATCTAAGGGCTCCTTTAAAGGATCCGTTAGGGGTTCGTTTAAGGGATCCTTCAAGGGCTTCTAATGTAGGGGCCTTAATCATTAGAAGGGGGTTTTGGGGTAACTCCACCCCGAAATACGGTTGATGATATAAAATCCTGCATTACCCAGAAAAAGGACGGAATATACGATAATTCCCATAATTCCCATAGTTTCAGGATCCTGAAGGTAATGCAGGATTTATGTCATCATCCGTAGTGTAGGTAATTATTCAGGCCCCTACCCTACCAGGTTTGGTTTGACTATATTCATAATAAGGACCCCCCCCAAAAAGAAATAGTATGAGTAATTGTTGCTTAAACCCTGAACCCTAAACCCGAAACCTAAACCTGAAATCCTAAAACCCCTAAAACCCTAAACCCTATACCCTAAACCCTAAAACCCTAAACCCTAAACCCTGAAACCCCTAAACCCTAAAACCCCTACAACCCTAAACCCTGAGCCCTCAACCCTATAGTATCAGGTGTGCGCATGTGGGCTCTAGATGCTGAGCCAGGAGCTCTTCGAAGACGGCGTGCGTCCTTCAAGAGAAACTCGGGAGCTACTAAAGACATACCTCAAACGACTTTAGGGTCTAGGGTTTAGGGTTTAGGGTTTAGGGCCTTTAAAACATACCTTAAACGACTTTAGGGTTTAGGGTTTAGGGTATAGGGTTTAGGGTTTAGGGTTTAGGGCCTTTAAACCATACCTTAAGCGACATTAGGGTATGAGGTTTAGGGTTTAGGTTAGGGGTTTTAGGGGTTTTAGGGTTTAGGGTTTAGGGCTTCTAAAGCATACCTTAAACGACTTTAGGGTTTAGGGTTTAGGGTTTCTAAAACATACCTTAAACGACTTTAGGGTTTTGGATTTAGGGTTTCTAAAACATACCTTAAACGACTTTAGGGTTGAGGGTTTCTAAAACATACCTTAAACGACTTCGGGGTTTAAGCTTTAGCGAGCTTCTAAACCATACCTTAAACGACCTTAGGGTTTAGGGTTTAAGCGACCAGAACCTACCTTTTTTGTAGGTTCTTTGTAACATTGTACATTGACTTATACATGCACTAACTTATGATATAGAATTGTCAGGGGCCCTACGGAAAAGGTAGGTTTTGGTGGATCAATGTGTAATCTGCAAGGCTTAGACGGGTGTGAGGAGACCTTACAAGGCCTATAAGGGCCCCTTGAGTTGAAAGCAAGGGTAGACCAAGCAAAACCACACGGTTTAGGCGTTAAGATTTAGGGTTCCGACACTTCTAACGCCTGATAATCTAAAGCCCGAAATTTTAGAGAATGATCGAAGCAACACCCCCATAACCGCCTAAACCCTAAAGCCTCAACCCTGGCCCCAACCCGTTAGAAACGCCCGAAGTCCGCAGCTCCTCGGATGTTTGTTGATTTGCTTGTAGAGCACCGGCTGGGTATACTCCGGAGCATCCTTGGATCCATCAGGGTCTTGAGGCTGAAACACCATGGTGTAGGGTTGTTGGCTACATGCTCTCATACATACACACACAAACACACACACACACACATATATATATATATATACGTACACACACACATATTACCAACATACAGACATACAGACATAAATACGGACGTACATACAAACGTACATACAAACGTACATACAAACACACACACACACAACCGTACATACATGCGTACATACATGCGTACATGCATGCATACATACATACATACATACATACATACAGACAGACATACACGCATATACATACATACACGCATAGACATACATACACGCATAGACAGACATACATACATACATACATACATACATACATACATACATGCATGCTCACATACGTACATACGTACATACATACATACATTCCGTCTGACAAACCAGATCACCGGAGTCCGGATGGCTACTTTCCCTGGGACACTGAAATGGAATCCAGACTCACTGTGTGCCCATGGAGGCGGCACTTTTGCTGTTGCCAGCCAGCTCATTAAAACGCCAAGTTGTGGATGCATGTAGTCTGTCATGCTTGAATGTGGACGAAGTTTGTCGTGCATATCCGGCTCTTGGGCTCTTGTCTCTCCGAGTTGCCGTTTCGTTGTGCCCGAAGCGTCGGTAACATATCACATCGACGATCACCTGAGGAATCATCATGAATTTTGCTGAGATGGGTCCAAGGTTTTTCGGGGACAGCATCGGTACGCACGGAAATCCCTACGTAATGGGGATGAAAGACGTGGATGGTCGAAGATAGTTCGCGATACAAAGATGGCATGGCAGAGTCTGCGAAAGAACCTTGCAAAATGAGCGGCTTTAGGCCTTTAAGGGCATTCTATCTTTACGTTCCCTCTGTCACCATGGGCAAAGGCTCGAGTCTACTGTTGTCAGCCGATGAGCCAGCAACCCAGACGCAAAAACCCAAATACATGCAGGAACCTCAAATGAAGAGCTTCGAAAACACCTAGACTGTTGCAAAAATATGGAAGGGTTCATATTCCGATTCACAGAATGTTGCTTATATTGTAGGAGCCGACAGCTAGTTCCCAAAGACACTTCGAAAAAAAACGTCTGACAACCCTTTGGTTGAAGGAGATACTGCTGGGTCTTGTCTCTCCAGTCTATAGGAGCCCGAAGGATGCGAAAACGAGGATGATGGCGGGTTCCGGATGTTGGCAGGGCGCTATGATGTGTTCGAAAATTGAAAACGACTACACTGCCTTCACGAACGCGAACAACCCATCTAATCTCATCCTGGAGCCCCAAAGTATATAAGGCTTTTGGGATTCCCTGGATGGGGCGTCTGGCTGAGTTCGGAGCATCCTGTCCCCAGGTCTGTCGCCACTCCGCAGCCAGTTGGAAAGCCGAGGTCACTGCGGCCTGAACAGCTTCAGTTAAAGGAAACTACCAGGTGGGGAGTTTAGGGTATATAGGGCTTCTACAAGGCTTCCATAAGGTATATAGAGTTTCTATAAGGCTCCTAGAACGGTAACTACCCACCTGAACATGTCCTAGACTTCAGGGTCTGAACGAGCTTTAAAAGATCCTTCAGATGCATCCGTCCCACCCTTCCACCGGTTCCCCTACTGAATCCACAAACCCTAGGGCCCTCAACTCTAAAGCCTAATGCTAGGCTCCCTAAACTCCTGACAGCTAGAAACTGGTTCAGATGTTGGGGCTCCCGCTTGGTCGAAACCGGCTTCAAGGCGTTTAGAGTTTGGAGTCCTAAAGTTTAGGGTTTAGGGTTTGGGGGGTTGGGGTTCAATGAGAATCACATGGCTCCACTGACGCCAGAAAACCCCGGACCATGATCCCAAAAGACCAACGTCCTGCAACCGAACACCCTAGAAAGCAACCCTACCACCCGAGCCCTGCGACGCTAAGAACTAAACCATATATCCCAGCTCCTGGCCCCTAAACCCTAAGCCCCATAACCCCTAATCCTCAAGCCCCGAAACACCATGCCCTCAGCCCTAAGCCCTAAACCCACAACCTTAAAATATAAAGCCTAAGCTGCTAAAACCCTGAACCCCTGAACCCCTGAACCCTTAAAACCCTAAAACCCCAAAAGCCCAGCCCCGGGAGCTCCAAAACAAAAAACAACACCAGAACAAACACCAGAACTAAACCTTAAGTCCTTTTTAGCACACAAACCTAAACCCAAAAACCCTTAACAGCAGAAAGCCCTAAACCCAAAGAGCACTACCCTAAACCCTAAAACCCTCAACATCAGAACCCCCTAAACCCAAAGAGCACTACCCTAAACCCTAACCTTCCCTAACTTCCCTCACCCCTCAACCCTAAACCCAACAACAAACACAGACGTCGGAGGAGCGGGGTCGTCGCCGTTGACGTGGAGAACCGGGAGGCCGAAGCCTCACACTTCAGGTTCTGGGCTTCAAGGGTTTAGGGTTTAGGGTTTAGGGGTTTTTATAACTAGAACAGGGTTTAGGGTTTAGGGTTTAGGGGTTTTTATAACTAGAATAGGGTTTAGGGTTTAGGGTTTAGGGTAAACCCCAAACCCCTGAACCCTAAACCCTATTTTTGGGGGGGGGGGGGATATATTTAGGGTTACAGGGCTTTAGGGCTTTATGGTTTGCGGCTTCAGGGTTTGGGGTTTAGGGTTTTGGGGTTTCTGTTAGGGGTTTAGGGTTTAGGGGTTTGGGGTTTCAGGGTGTGGGGTTTAGGGTTTTGGTTTTTGGGGTTTACAGTTTCAGGGTTTAGGGTTTCAGGGTTGAGGATTTCAGGCTTAAGTTTAGGGTATCGGGGGTTAAGGTTTAGGGTTCAGGGCTTCGAGTCTGGGACTTTAGGGTTTAGTGTATGAGGGTTCAGGATGTAGGGATTTGTGGCTTAGGGCATATAGGGTTAAGGATTTAGGGCTTAGGGCAGGGCTCACGGGGCTTAGGCATGCGGTTGAGGGTTTTAGGGCTTAGAGTTTCGGGCTATGGCGAATAGGGTTCAGGGTGAAGGGTTTCAAGGTGGGTTGGGCTTGCACCTGTGCTGCTGAGCAGATGATATCTGCCAGCTGGGCACCGCGCCCTGCCGTCAAGACTGCGTACGACACGACACTGGAGTTGCTGGATATCGCCTTCACACTCTGCAAGAAGTTCGGCACCAATTGGAGGCCAGGACATTGACCTCGCAGCTATCTAAGCCTCGCGTGAGCATGTGCGCTGCAGAAAAAAGAGCCGTCACGCTGCTGTCAAAAAGGACGATGGCCACAGACTGGGGATCCACTGGCAGCATCACCGTGTCAGCCGTTTTGGTGTTCATTTTCAGAAACGGGAGGATTTCTTGGCACGAGTCACTCCTCGCAGCATCGGCCATCGTGTCAATGCACGACACTGCGACTGCATAATACTGGAACGATGGGGTACTGCCACTCTGGTCAGGTCAGTGTCAATCTGCTCTGCTCCGAATCCACTTACAACCCATCAGAAAAACCTGTCGAACCTGTACTCTTGTCGAATCACAACCCTTATAGAAACCCCAAGCCTTAAACCCCTAAACCCTAGCTTGACTTAATTGAAAGCCCTACTTCTAGAGTCCCTTCCAAAAGCCCTCGTAGAAACCCCTAGAGCACCTTATAGAATTCGTCAAAGGAACCCTTAGAGGGAACCCTGATAGTTGCCTTGTAATACCCCGGTAGACCCATAGAACGCCTTAAAATTGAGTAACCCGTATAGTAACCTTATAGAACTCCTTAGAAGAACAACCCTAAACCCCTCACCCTAAAGGAACAACCCTAAACCCGTTACCCTTATAGAACTCCTTAAAGGAACAACCCTAAACCCCTTACCCTCATAGACCTCCTTACAGGAACAACCCTAAACCTAAACCGTAAACCCTACACCCCGGCACTCTCAACCTGCAACTCCGCCTTTGCCCAGGTCCGAAGAGTACATCGTGGAGCGGTCATCGACAGGGTCTGTGGTGAAGCCCACCTGTCTTAGCTCGCCTCTAAAAATCTACCTAACAACGCCTAGACATACCCCTAAAAAGCATGGAAATCCCGAAATCCACCCTAAAAGGCCCAGAAATCCCCCCCCTAAACCCTAAACCCTAAACCCTAAACCCCTAAACCCTAAACCCTAAACCCTAAACCCCTACACCCTAAACCCTAAACCCTAAGGCCTAGGGCTCCATATGAGGGGCCCATACTTCCAACCTTAGAGCCTTCAGGAAGAGTGTGGCTTGTGCTTTGGGGCTCCGGGGTTCAGGTGTTTTAGGGGGATTATCCCTGAACCCTGAACCCTGAGCCCAAACCCCTAAACCCCTAAACCCTAAACCCTAACCCTTAAACCCCCCTAAACCCCTAAACCCTATCCCCTAACCCCTAAACCCTGAACCCCTACACCCCTAAACCCCCCTAAACCCAAACCCCTAAACCCCTACCTTAAGAACCCAAAACCTACTTTTTTGTAGGGTCCCTATAAATCCCATATTAGGGTTTATAATAAGGACCCTACAAAAAAGTAGGTTTTGGGTTCTTAAGGTAAACCCTAACCCCCAAATCCCTTAAACGGGGAAGTTCGGGGCTTTCGGAAGAGCTTGGCTTGTACTTTGCGCCTTCGGCGTTCGAGGGCTCAGGTGCTTAGAAGAAGTTTAGGGTTTAGGGTTTAGGGGTTCAGGGGTTTAGGGTTTAGGGTTTAGGGGTTTAGGGGTTTAGGGTTTAGGGTTTAGGGGTTTAGGGTTTAGGGCTTCGGGTTTAGGGGCTCCCAGGCGTATATAGGGCCGGGAATAGTTACGAATTGTTTTGAAGGTTACCTGATCAGAATCCTACATAGTCCTAAGATATTTCCCTCAAATGGGTAGGAAGCCTATTCATTCTATTCTTGAGACAAGTACAGGGCAGCCTTGTGGTTTTGTCTAGCGCCACATCTGAAAAGCAACCTGGCGATCCTAAACCCTAAACTTGTTTAGGGTTTAGGGTTTAGGGTTTAGGCCCTAAACCGCACCTGATTGTTGATGATGACGTGGATGGTGCCACCGACCTTCATCCATCAGAAGCCAGGCTATTCGGCTGAGGCTTTTGTTTCCGAAGCATCGTGCACTGGACAACTCTCTTTTCCTGAACCTGCGGCTCAAATTTCTCAAACCCGCAAGTGCGTCTATTCAAGTCCTGATGAATGCTCGGAAAACTATAGTAACAGATTGCAAAACCCGTATGGAACCTCGTAGAGGAACCACAAGGCACCCTTTTCAGATTTTGCAATCAACTACTTACTGAACATACAAACCAAAATCCCAAACCAAAATCCGAAAAACTCCGACCCTATGCCGCTTTTCATATGATGTAACACCGGTTCGAGGCCAGAGGACGTCGAACTCCGTGACATGCGCGAGCCTGAGATCGAGACCATGGGCGTTTCAACAGCAGTTCTGGGATTTAGGGCTTATGGTTCAGGGTTTAGGGGCTTAGGGGTTTGGGGTTTTGAGGGCGAGGTGTAGTACTGCTTCATGGACCTCAGACGGGTTCTGTCGCAGATTTTTGCAGAAGGAAAGCTCTAAGTATTAGAGGGCTGGCGTTCGGGTTTCAGGGTTCTCGGGTTGGGCGGTTTTAAACTACAAATATGTTAGGGAATGCTCGCGATGAACAGTGCAAGTTCTTTAGACCCTTGCATTGCTTCTGACAACAGGTTTCCGGCCTAGGATTTTCGATGTGCCTAATTAACCATAGAATCAGTAGAAGTGACACTCTTAGCCGCATAGTGCAGCAGATGCATGTACAATAATGTGCGTGCATGCATACGTCTATATCTATATTACACACACACACACACACACACACAAGTGCACACCTTTTTTTTAGAAATTCGATGTTCTTTGTTTACCTGTGTTGTTTAGTTATGTAACTTATGTTTGTAGACGATGGCGACACGGACGATGACAACAACGGAACACATGCAGGAAGGCCATAATCGAAACGCTGCACATGAACAAGCTGCAGCTAATATCTCCACGTTCTTCGCCCAATGAACACATTCGCGATTAGGGTTTCTGGGTCTCGGCTACAACCACATCAACACCAGCTGCTGCAGATGGATCCCGGTCTGATGTTGCACCATGCAGGCTGAAACTGACAACAGACTGACAGTGTTCAAGCTTTTTACTGCTCGGACCTCCATAGTGGATGCCGAAGCCTCTCTAGCCCCTGTTCCCCTCAAGCCCTACCTGGACAGCAAAAGTATGTGGAATAACAGCCTTTTTATGGGCTTTGGGGGCATTGTTTTACATACTTTTGGGGGTTGAGATAGCCTTTTATGGGTTTCGGGCCATTAATTTACCTACTTTGAAGGGGGTTTAGGTACACCCGAAGATCCTGACAGAAAGCAGACCGCAAGCCCTATAAACCCTGGCAAGAGGCTGCAGGGTCTCGTAGCAGACGCCCTGGCCAGCAAAGGAGGCGTCCTCAGGACCAAAGGAATCACTCGCTGGCTTCGGGCAATGTAGGGGTCTTAATCATCAGAATAGGGTTTTGGGATATAAGATACTATATATCCAACAAGGAATCAGCAAAAGAGTATAGGTAATTATTAATGCCCCTCTATTACCCCGAGACTCCAAAACACCTGCCCCCGCAAAACAAAACTGTTAATATTGATTATGCCCTCACAAAGAGACCAACTTCCATGTGGGTTTAGGGTCTAGGGGTTTAGAGTTTAGGGCTTTCGGGGTTTAGGGGTTTTTGTACGTTCCTTAACCATGGCGCTTTGGAGTCTCTAAGTAGGGGTTCACGGAATACCTTTTGTACAGAGCTCACGATCCCCCCAGTGAGACCCGCCTCGCTGAAAGGAAACCATCTTCCATGTGAAACTGAAGCCAGACATGAGGGTTTCAGGGTTCAGGGTTTTAGATCAAGATATGATGGCGTACTTCGTCTCCAGAAGTCCCTGTTAGAACCTACGCAATCTAGTGGAGGAGGGCCTCTACCGTTGCTTGAAGGACTGGGGCGAAGCACTTAGGACTTAATGTAGGAATATGGTTTTGGGGGGGCTCTTTGTTATAATTACAGTGTGAAAACCCTTTGTACCCTAAACCCTAAACCCTGAACCCTAAACCCTAAACCCTAAACCCTAAACCCTAAACCCCGGGCACGGCGACACAGAGCTTTCAAGTTGAAGTTGCTTGAAGTGCTTGGCACTTGCAAGTCGTCAGAAATTAAGCATGGCAAGCTGAAGCTGTTGGGGACGAGCGGCGCCATGGAAAAGAATCGGCATGACCCGCGACCTGCATGCAGGGAGAGGCGATATATCCGATAACAACAATGTAGAACGAAGGCCAATACTCCTGGAGTACGGAATACCCCTAAAGTCGTATTTAAAAGCTCTACATTATTATCTAAAGAGTGTTCTGAACCAATGGGTAAAGGACACTCTGGATCCCGTGTTCGGTCGCAAGCCTCTCCTATCTTGCCAGCCAAAATGGACAACAACGACCGAGAACAGCTACAATCGAAGACTCGCTTCAGGGCTTAAGGCTTAAGGTACCTGCGACGAATCCCGAAAGGTTCCAGACAAATGTTACCTCCTCATCTACAAAGCTTTCTCGGGCTCACAAAATAAAGCACAAGGGCCCAAACTCCAAACGGCGATACAGTGATAGCCGAACCAAACAACCCTTCATTCAAACCTACCCCAAGCGAGCTCATAAGGTTTAGGGTTTAGGGTTAGGACGCGATGAAACATGTTATCAACGTATGGCTGTGCTTCGTACGGCCTCCGGCTTGAAGAAAAACCGGCAAAAACCCAGCAAAGCCCGTCGTTTAGATATTGAGACTCGGAGTTTATCAAAGTATGAAAAGTCGGACCGTGGCGGTGAATCGGACGGCTTGGACCCTAAACCCAAAGGGCTTAGGGTTTAAGGTTTAATCCAAAACCTTACGTGTCAGTTTTCCTCTGCGGTTCGACAACTGATGCAACAACTGGCGATACCCTCATGTGGGTAGTTCTCTAAATTCGCGTCCCTGTTTGAGATCCCCAAAATAGTATGGCACCCTTATAAAAAGGACCCCAAAACGGACCGTAATTTAGAGAACTACGCAAATGCTCGTGCAAGCGGCGTTTCAGTTTCAGAGAGACCCCAGTAGCACACGCTGTACAGGGCGCACATGCCATCCTTCCTAGCCAAGCTGCACGATAAGAACCGCAACAGTAGGGTTGCAATGCGATCAGCCCATGGGCACGAAGGCTCGACTGTTGCGACTTTGCAAGGACCCACACTAAGGCTACATAGCTTCAGGAAATCACGCCCCAAGCATCCTTCACGGAAAAACGGAAGCTGTTATGCCGAAGTCCGAAAAAACAGCGGCCGAAATTGCACCTCGTCTCCGCAGTATTGCCCAAGTAGTACTGCCTGGACGTCGGGCACCACTCCCTAGAAACACAATCCGGATTGAATTTATGTCTGATCCCCCTTGACATTGTAGCTGTGCTAATTGTTGGAAATACTGGAGCCATCTGGCATCATAAACAGGATGAATCTTCCGAAGCCACGAAGTTTCAACTCTGAAAGCAAGTTTGGCCCTCAAGTGCTGTACTAGGGCATAAGGACTTCGGCTTCAGGAACGGCAACAGCAAAATCAACACTGGTAAGGCCAACAAAAACAAGCCCCACGACACTTACAGGAGTATGACCGCGAGGACGCTGCGAAGTTACAAGTAGTCGCACCAACGCCGTGAACCTGGCTCTGGCACGGACAGTACATAGTACCAAATCGAGAACTGTTGCTACTGCTGCTGCTGCTGCTGCTGCTGCTGCTGCTGCTGCTGCTGCTGCTGCTGCTGCTGCTGCTGCTGCTCAATCTGTGGGCGCCGCTTGTAAGTAGTAGTAGTAGTAGTAGTAGTAGTAGTAGTAGTAGTAGTAAAGAGTAGCAGCAACAGTAGTACGCAACACTTACTTCCCCAATAAACCAAGGAAATAAAGGTTAAACTTTCAGATTACTATTGAATTATAAGAACCCCAAAAGTTTAAAGGTTGGGTATTGGGGAACTAAGAACAATAACAACTATGTTCTCAAGCATGGATAACAGCAGTCATGTTGACTCCAAGACGAAGCAAAAAGCACACCATCGCCAGACAATTGCGCAATTACCGAAGGTCAGCATCACATCAGTACCATCGCCATCAGATAGCATTCCTGCGATGAACAAATAAAGTAGAACCACCAACAAAGAAGCAATGACAAGTATGGTTAGTAGGCTGACCCTAAACCCTAAACCCTAAACCCTAAACCCGGCTGAAACAAGCAGAAGCTAACAGCAACTGCTGCGAGGCACTTGGCCCGAGCTCGACCCAGCGTAACGGTGTTCACCGTCTCCAAGTGTGATGGGTTCGCCTGGCGTTTGCTTCGGTTTAGGGATTAGGGTTTAGGGTTTAGGGTTTAGGGTTTAGGGTTTAGGGTTTAGGGTTTAGGGTTTACATGGTACCTATAGTCTCCATTGTAGTTCCTTTTTGGGGGTTAAACCAATTTTATATGTAGGGTCCTACAGGGGAACCCCAAAAAGGAACGACAATGGAGACTATAGGTCATTTTCGGAATTGAAAAAGAAGTTATTGAGAGATTCCGATAAGGGAGCTTTCCCCTCAAACCCTAAAGCCGTGAACCCGACTAGGGCCTATAAACCCCAAACCCTAAACCCTCCACACGCTGTGTTGGGGAGTAGTCATGCAGGGCAAGCCTTCTCGGTGTTGGCTGCAGGGTCTGAGGTTTGCCCCAAGCCCCAAATCTCGGGGTTCACTAGGTTGGGGTCGTTAGTACTTATTACAATGAAACGCGGTTTAGGGTTTAGGGCTGTGTTTAAGAACAGCCTACTATCACACCCACGGACTTTCGGAACCCTAACCCCTAAACACCCCTAAAGCCCCGCAATGCTATTGGAATTTGCGGCGCCATGCCCTGAAACCCTAAACCCTAAACCCTAAACCCTAAACCCTAAACCCTAAACCCTAAATCCTAAACCACACTTGAGGCCATGGCTTACCAGATTCAGAGGGCTGTGGGCATCAAAGACCCGACATGAAGTAACGAGGATGTAATGTAGGGGCCTTGATAATTAGAGGAGGGTTTTGGGGGTTCCTTTAAAGGGTTCTATAAGGGCCACTATAAGGGTTTAGGGTTTAGGGGGCCTTAATAATTGGAATGGGGTTTTTTGGGGGCTTCTTATTAGAATTATAGCATAATATATCCCCCAGCCCTGTTCTAATTACTGAGGCCCCTGTATTAGGGTCTAGGACTAGGATTGCAGGGATTTGGGCTTTAAGGCTCAGGGTCCAGAGTTGTGGGTTTCAAGGAAGCCTGAACACCTCATTAAGCTGGACGTGTTTTTGCCGGCTTTTGTTTGAGGGGCTGCTTTTACATTACGAATATAATCTCTTCCCCTAACATTAAACGGGGGGGGGGGG